CGTGTAAAACCAGTCCTAGAAGCTCAGATCTATGATTTGGAAGCACTGAAATAGATTAGAATCGACTGTATAGTAATAGCATGCTTGGGACTCGACGAGTTGTTCTTCAACTCGGCGAGTTGTTCTTCAGACTCGACGAGTTGTTCATACGACTCGGCGAGCCACAGACTGGACGTGTTCATATGATGAAGGAGAACTCGACGAGTTGTTCATACAACTCGGCGAGTCGGATGAAGTTAGACTCGATGTTTGTATCGAAGAAGAACTCGTCGAGTCTTTGCCAAACTCGACGAGTAGAAGCGAGTAGAGGACTAGAATGGATGAAAGGGACACGGCAAGTTGGCGGCCCAACTCGGCGAGTCCGGTCAACTGGAAGTTGACTTTGACCAGGAAGTTGACTTGACCAGGGGTAAGTAGTCATTTTACCCTGAGATTTGTTATCAGTATTGATTTAGTGTTTATGGGATTTGTAGCCGGGAGTTCCGGAGCAGCAATCAAGCAGTTTCAGATTTAGTATCTCAGCAGCCAGTGTTACGAGGTGAGTTTCCTTCCAGTAGGAACGGGTCTACGGCCACAATGCCGACCCGTTAGATAGCAGTAGTTTCGGACTTTGGTCCAATGCAGTAGTTCAGTATGCTTGATGTCTTTGTGATTCAGGCATGTTTATGTGTTAGTTAGTTCGGGCCTCGGTCCGATGCAGCATGCAATATATGTGTTTATGCTAGTAGTTATGATTATGTTATGCTATGTTCAGTTAGTCCGGACTTCGGTCCGATGCAGGGGGCAAGGCCCCAGTTAGTCCGGATTTCGGTCTGATGCAGGAGCAAGGCCCCAGTTAGTCCGGACTTCGGTCCGATGCAGGGGGAAGGCCCCAGTTAGTCCGGACTTCGGTCCGATGCAGGGGCAAGGCCCCAGTTAGTCCGGATTTCGGTCCGATGCAGGGGACAAGACCCCAGTTAGTCCGGGTTTCGGTCCGATGCAGTGGGCAAGGCCCAATATGTGCTTTATATGTTATAGTATGGTATGTGGTAGTTTGGGGGAGCTCACTAAGCTTTGTGCTTACAGTTTTCAGTTTTGGTTTCAGGCATTTTCGGTAGCGGAGAGTAGAGCTCGGGATGATCGCATGGCACACACCATAGCTAGTCAGCCTGGGATGTTTTACTCTGATAAGAAGATTATGTTTTGAATTAACACTATGATTTTATGCTATGATTTATGTTATGAATTGACAATTGTGGTTTAAGTAATGATTTAAAAAGAAATTTTCAGACTGTATTTTTGGGATGTTTCAATATGCTTGATGCAACACAGGCAAATTTGACACTGTAGCAAAGTTGCATTCTACAATAACACATTGTCATGCAAAATTTAGGTTTTAGAGCATCTTCAACAAACTCCACGTTAAGACAAAAGCAAAAACCTCAGCAAAATCAACATTCAATACTTTAGAAAAATCGGAAAATATGTTATGTCAAAAGTTCCTAAGAACTTAAACTTGAATATAGTAACCGACTTTGTGAAAACCTAATTGTTGAATGTCATCCTTTTGGGTTTTTCATGTTTAACTAGAGGGGTCATCGAAATTGCATGTTTAGTATAACCTTTTGAATGTAGTGCCGCATATAGTAGAAGCCATTAATTAGGTGCTGTTTGTTTTTTTAGGCAAAATGTCTGCAGTCTGCGGACCACATCTGTAGACCTCTGCAGCAGAAGAGGTGGACCAAACGTCTGCAGTCTGAAAAAAGATTGTTTGTTTTTTTAACATCTGCAAGCTACTAAAATAAGCTAAAATCTAAATAAACTGATTGTTCTAACTACAAAGTGATTTTTTAATATTTTTATGACTTTATTATAAATAATTAACAAATCTAGATCAACTTTTATGTATTATTGTATAAAAAGTGAAAATAAAAATGGTACAAATTAACGTATATTTGATAAAAACCAACAATTTTGGTCGCAAAGTTATACCTAAACATTGTAATTGTGAATCAAAGAATTTGATACATAAATTGATGGAAATAAACTTTGATTTTTTTTCAATTAAATCAATGAAAATCGTATCATAAATATTTTTCTAAGAAATTGACGATATTATATTACATAATGTTTTATAAAATTTGGCACAAAAAATATAAGAATATATTATGATTTTTTTTTTCATATTTATATAAACAACTTCAATGACCATTATTCTAATAAATTTTTATTTATAAATTTGTGAAAAATATCATATTTGTGTCGTCGAATTTTTTTTAAGTATTCTAACTTTTTTTTTACAATTTGTTTATCATTAATAAAGTTGGAATAAATATAAATTCAAAAAAACTAAAAAAAATCAAGATATATGTGTTTTTTTTAAGTTAGAAGATGTCTGAAGATATTAGAAGACTCTGGTCCACATCTGCGCCAAGAAGATGACGCGCAGACATTTTTAGGTCCGCAGTCTTCAAAAAAAACAAACAGTCTGCGAAGACTAATATCTGCGCGTGGTCTGCGTCGCGCAGATAGAAGAGGCTAAGAAGATCTGTGGGCAAAAAACAAACACCACCTTAGACTTCATCAGATTCTTTTTAAAAAAAATATTATTATTTTGATGAAATTGTTTTGCGAAAATAAAATAACATGTGAAAATGTTCTACAACGGTGAACATTTATATACTAAATTGGCACAAAATTAAACATATTTCGAAATCCATTTTATGAAATTGATTTTAATCTTACAACATATCCTATGCTTGAAATGTAAGTTGTATTTGGTTGCTTTAAGAGTGAAATGTTTATAACATTTAATATAACTTTTTAAAATATTGATTTTAATCTTACAACATATCCACCAAATGAAAATAAGTTTTTGAAAAGGACAACACATTGGAATATTAAGTATGTACACATGTTTACATTTTTATTTCACAATAGCCTAAAGGTCAAGGATTGATATAAGTATAGCCATACATTATACACATCATATTTGAAATTTGATTTAACATTAGACTTTTCTATTTTTTTTAAAAGGGGCCACTTTAAATTACAAGCTTAAAACTTATTGATTTATGTAGAGAGAAACTTCATATGAGTTTCATTAACCACTCACGTATGTCAAATAGTATTCATCATAAAAAATATTTCATTAACCAATCACGTATGTCAAATAGTTTGCATCATAAAAAATAACAAACTGGTTTTTTCTATTTGATAAAAAAAATTCTAATATAGATACATAATATTACAATTACACGTAAAGTAACATTATATTGTGAAACATACTTTCAAAACCACTTTTTAAAGTTATATATTACAAGTTTATACTTTATAATCAACTAGAGGCTTACTCAACATTGAATTTGACGCCTTAACGTTCCTGTTATGATTTAAACAAATTATGATCATCATAAACATCAGCCGTTCTAGCTCAGTTGGTAGAGCGCGTGGCTTTTAACCACGTGGTCGTGGGTTCGAGTCCCACGGATGGCGTTTTTTTACAGAGACATTAGATTTTTCTTTTCTTTTGTAGTATATGTTTTAGGCCAACCGGAGACTATCATTCCTGTCTTCTTTTCCTTTGCGTTTTACCTCGTGATCACCAAATGCTGCCTTCCACGTACATACATAACCAATCTTCTCTCCATCGAACAAACAAATCAATATTCTTTTACAATATCTAAAGATTTTATCTAATAAGCAACTTATATGCCCAAAATAACTATATTTTAAGATTTCATATTAAGATACTTTGTATATAATTAAGGTTTTACATAAATAAGATAATAACGCTCATATTTCTGGACTATTTTGTAAAGGAAGGTTTGTTGACTATGCATGGTTTGTTGCCGTTTGTCTTGAAGAGATTTATCTTCTGTGAACTTTCATCTAGTCCAAACAATGTTTGAACTACTCCGTTGGTAGCTCATTTGTTAACATATATGTCAAGTTTTACCTATCTTCATCGAGAACATAACGATTGGAATTCAGCCTAACATCATATGATTTGTCTTCTCATGTGATAGACTGGATTCTTTGTCAAACTTAAAGCACTATGATTGTCATTATACAAAGCATGTATCTCCAAGTTACTCAAATAACATTAGCTCTTACACCATTTATCGTGCAAGCAATCAAATAAAGATAATAAAATGACACAAAGAATTAATATGGTTCAGTCGATGTGACCTACGTCCATGGGCAGTAAGCCAATAACCATGGAACCTTTTTTATTACTCGACTATTATGAAAGTGATACATTGGAAAACCAAGTTACAGATACCTATAACCGTAAAAACCCTAAAAACTATTTGGTTGAGTTCATATACTCCAAACACTTATCCCTTCAAAATCACCATTCAAATGGTTTCTTCACTTCGTTCTGGGTACAATAATCGAGTTATAATTCAGATCACCAAATTTCAAGTCACACCCTAACACATGATTTGAGAGGATATGAGGGAAGGATCTCGGCATATGCGATGTGCTAACTAGTCCAATTCAAAACTATGCCGCAACTCAAACTCATAGTCACCCATGTTTGAAATCTTAGGAGTCGAACTCGGGTTACATATGGAGTGGTGCTTAGTGAGTCGTACCCGCTAAGCTAAAAGGAGGTGGTCAAAGATGCATTTGCTTACAACAACAATCCATGAATGATTCGAGTCACAAGAATAGCTTCAATCAAGTTGATTGAACGTTAATTATAGGTTGAACATTGTTTTCAAAAGAAAAAAAAAACATTTCATTAACACCTATACCATACATCCATTAATGGAAAAGATACAACTTGTGTCGCATCCTTATTATATATGTGACTTGGCTTTTAAAAAGTTTGGAAACAACTTGCTCATTGAGTTTGAAAATATAATAAGTATAATTTCAGAAAATTAAAAAGACAAATTTCCGAAAAGCAAAATTCAGATGACAATATGACATGTATCACGGGCCAAAAACCCATTCCAAAAAGTTCTTCACATAACAGAAATCAAGTGGGTGAGAAGAAGAAGGTTTTATGACTTTATTCTTTTCATTTCACGGGTTTCATCTCCCCACCACCACCATAACCACCGCCACCTCCTGCTTCCTTATGTTCACGTTCACAATTCACCATTCACCATTCTACTTCAATAACTTGAAAACAATCAAAATTAGATGGAAAGCGATGCTTTGGACGTAATTAAATTATTAAAATATTCGACACTGAGTACTCAACATGCAACTGTACCTATATTATAGATCCATACAGTCCCCTCTAAATCACACCTCCCATATCATCTCTCTCTGTATCTCCTACATTTCATAGAATGAAATTTGAAGAACTCATCATGCAGGAGACTCGTGAGAAGCAAAAAACAATGCAACTTCAGGAAGAGGTATTTTTTTTTTCTTTCTGTTTTCTCTAAATGTCATCGTCTAATTGATACAGACCAAGTCGAATTTCATAGGTTATAAAATCAAATGAAATGGTTGTGAGAACCAGATTGAATCGTGTTTGATTACAGTTGTATTCCTTTATATTTTCATCTACTTAATTTGAAATGAATCAAATGAAATGGTTATGAAAAAGAAAAAAAAAACGGATTGAATTTTGTTTGATTACGATTGCCTTCCTCTGTATTTCGCCTAGTTAATTTGAATTGGATCAAATGTAATGATTATGAAAATCGAAATTGATTGTTGTTTGATTACACTATCTGGCTTCCTCTGGTTAATTTGAATCGATTCAGATCAAATGGTTATGAAAATGTTATTGAATGTTGGATTAAAAACTTAAAACTCCATATATATATGTACTTATCGGTTGTTTCCATGGTGAAAAGGTTGATCAACTTGAAGCAGAATTAGAAGATGAACTAAAACTGAGCAAAACCTTGCAGTATGCATTAGATGGCCCTATTCACCCTTGTTTCTCTACACACCTTCCCTTTAAGGTAAATTAAAAAGTCACTTTATTTGATTCCCCTTTTCAACCATGTTACCAATTTTTCACCAAAAAAATGTTTGGATGCAGATAAAAGAACTGTTGACTGAACTTGCTACAGTGGAAGAAGAAATCATGTGGCTGGAGAGGAAAGTGAACAAGTTGAACCTGAGTTTGTACTTGGAGAAAAAAGAAACCAGGGAATGGGAGTTCCGGCAGCTAAGAGACCTCCATCCACAATCACACAGCCACCACCACCGACCACGAAAGCACACACTTCGAAGACAACAAAATCGGGCCAAATTCATGAGTTATGAATTACAAGATTATGATTCAAAGAAAAGCTTTCCACTAGTAAAACAGAGAAGATCCTTCCATGGTTCTTCTATTGACATCAAACATGCTAAACTTCAACTTTCGGTTTTGCGAACAGACGATATCACTAAAAATCCAAACAAGTTGTCGGAAGATCTAATCAAGTGTTTAATAGGGATATTTCTGGAACTGAATCAGCCATTGATGGACAGTGAAGAAGGATCGGATATTGTACCAAAGCATATCTCATGTATGAATTCAAAAAGCTTCATCTCTAAAACAACCTTCAATTGTACTTGTACACCACCAACCTTCTTCTTCAACAATAACGCTTCAAATCTCGACCCTTATGCCACATTACTTGATTCCGATTGCACAATCAGAGACATCGGTCCTTACAAGACTTTCACTCAAATCACACGTAACACCTTGGACCATACTCGCATTTCTGAATGCTCCAAAGAAGTCGGAAAACTCAGGTAATTAATTCTAGAAGCTTCTGAAGACACATACGCTTATGAAATATGAAACTTACCTTTTTTTATATAGAATTTTGATGCAGAAACTCTGCAATGTTAAACTGAATCTGCTGACATACAAGCAGAAGTTAGCTTTCTGGATCAACATATACAACGCCTGCATAATGCATGTACTGTAAGAAGACAACTCAATTAAATAAATCAGTTGAAATGCACAGCATATAAAATTTGAGATTATGATTTAAGATCTATGTAATGTAATGTATATTTGTTGCAGGCGTTTCTTCAACATGGATTGCCCTCAACACAGGAGAAACTACTGGTTCTTATGAACAAGGTACATCTGATAAATATGTTAATTAAAAGATTCATGATAGAAATCCTAAATTGATATTATATGATTCAGGCAGTAATCAACGTCGGTGGCATTGTAGTAAATGCATTGGGAATCGAACACTTCATTCTCCGGTATCCATCCAGCTCCGGTCATGTAAGTTTCATATTAAAAAATTAACACAAGTGAACACTAACAGCTTAACAACTTGAAAGATATAATAAATCTGACATGATTTTGTTATAATGATAATAATCCTACAAGGGTCCAGCAAACGAGAGGGAAATGTTACTCCGACAGACCTACGGACTGGGGTTCCCGGAACCCAATGTGAGCTTTGGTCTTTGCAGAGGGAGCTGGTCTTCGCCGGCGGTAAGAACTAAGAACATAAGTCAGTGGTTGGTATGTAATTTACTAATTAGTATGTGTTGATGAGGAGGGTGATACTGTAATTTGCAGCTTAGGGTTTATACGGCGGAGGATATAGTGAACGAATTGGCAAGAGCGAGGGTGGAGTATCTAGAAGCTTCGGTAGGGGTTGTAAGCAAGAAGAAGATGATTATGATACCGAAGCTTCTGCAATGGCATATAAAGGATTTTGCGGATGACATGGAGTCGCTTCTGGAATGGATTTATAGCGAGTTGCCGCAGTCAGGGACTGGGTCGCTGAAAAGGTTGATAATGGAGTGTTTGAATGGTGACACCAAATCCAGTCCGGCCAAAATGATAGAGATTCAGCCGTATGTTTATGAATTCCGATACTTGTTGCCACGACATGAAATTGGAAGCGATGAAAAGGGCTTAACATCTTGTTAGGTTAAAGAGAGAGGAACACCATGTATTATTCTTCAATCTTTACACTCTTGTTAAAACTTTAGTAATTATATTGTATAATAGAAGGTCTACAACTACAATCTAATATATTTTACTTTGTTTTTAAACCGTTTATGTATTTTATTATAGGTTTGTTTGTTAGGTTGTTTGATAGCTGCTGATTCGCTGACTGAATCAGAGCCCAAAACTCTTACCGGGTAAGGTAAGGGTTTGAAGTCAGAGCCCTGATTTAAATTAATATGTAAAATGGTTTGAAACCTGGTCAGTGTTTACATACAAACACACATACATGTTCCATATTTTTGAAACTTGGTTGCTATTTTTTCAATACTCTTTCTCCTGTTAAAAAAAAATAAACTTTGTTGCTTGAAACGAATCCAGATTTTACTCAACTAAAAGCAAAAATAATCAAATAAACTTTGGTTTTTCCAAAAAAACATATCTAAATTCTACAAAAAATATGATTGAAAGAAATGCATTTACTAGTTCATTATGATAATATACAAATGAAATCCTAAATACATGATAAGATAAACCAGGTCTATACAATAATGCTTGGATGTAGAAGTAGGTTGTACTTGGGCACCTTCTTGTTTCTTGGCTCCCTGAAATCAAATCACATGAATATGATATATTTGATTGATACTAGAAGTTTGATTATACCTTTTATACTTTGGGTTTAATATTTATAAAGACACACCCTTGCCAACATGTACCTAATAAAGACTCTATTGAGCTAAAAGATACAGTTCATGGACGCCAAAACCCAGTTCATGGATTACCATCATCAAAACTGAAACGAACATCAACTAATCGAAACATGAGCATCGTGAAGTGAAATTGACCAAGATAGAAATAGTTCATTGGAGCTTCATTTTGACATTACAAATCCAGATTCTACCTTGAGTCAACCAACAAAGCATGAGTCTGGAAACTTCATATCATCGAAATACACTTTCGGACATCATAAATCACGTTCATCACAATCATCGATTGAAAAAAAAATAACCCTAGAAAAAGCTATCATCAAACGTGTTTAATCCAGGAAAAAACTAATGGGTTTCAATCCATCCTTATACACGAACAAAAAACATTAAATCGTAGATGAAAATCAGAATCGATCAATATTCAAAATCATATAGGAAGATATAGGAAAATAGGAACACGATGGACAATAAAACCTAAAACTGGTAATGAAGAACAAAAGGCGATGAGAATAAAAGGATTCCAAACCAAATGAGTAGAATAATAAAACTGGTAATGGAAGAAATCATGTATGTGTAAGGAGAAAGGAAGGAATTGCGTTTGGGGCTAGAAGGAGGAGAAGGGTGAATGCGGGTAAAGTCTCGGTCATCGTATTTTTTTCATGGACTCGGTAAGAGACTTAAGGACCAGGTAAGAAACCTGATATGTTGATATTAAACACTCTTATTGGACCGAGTAAGAGATAACCTTTTACTGGACCAGTAAAAGGTAAATCAAACAGACCCTTAGTTGTTTATAAATTAATTAATTATATATAACTTAGGGAAAATAACTTAAAAGAGTAAGATATTTTTGTTTTGTACACATTTGATTAAACTTGTTATCTTATACACAATTATACACATTTGAGTAAGATATTTTTGTTATCTTATACACAATTAATCCTGATTGTTGTGGGTTTAGTTAATTTCCAGTTTTCTTGTTAGTTATGTCGAGACTCTGATCTGACGAAACATTATTTTTCCGACAAGTGAAAACCAATTTTTTGAAAAAATGATGAACAACATCTATGTTTCTTCAAATATCATTTTTGAAAAAATGACGTAACCAACTGCGATCTCAATGACTTTTTTATGAAAAAAACTAATATTTTAAATATTTTTGAAAACATCATTGAATATACGACTAGATTTGTAATTTTTTCATATTTTTATGATTAACTATATATTTTTGTATTGATCTTTGTGACAGTATATAATTATATATTTATGATTTGTGATACGTACAGGGTCCTGTTGGAGTCTTGGAACCACAAATTCAATATACGCCAAAACGCACTTTAATTTTCACTTTTTCTGTATCTTTCCGTGGAATTTTGCTTTTCTCGTCAAACTAAGTCACAATCCCTCTTCAGTCACTTGCTGCTTCTTCTTCGCCAAACCCAAAACCCTAAATTCATTTTCTTATAATTCCATCACCTTGGTTTACAAATTAATCTACACTTCGTACGGTTGATTCGAGGTAAGCGCTGTATATCTCTCCTCCCTATCAATCTCGTTCGCCCGTTCTTGCTTCACACACCAACAAAGTGCAGGCTCGTACACCAGCTCCTATGTCTCTACGTAATTAGCAATTGCCTAGATTTTCCCTTTCCATTATGTTGAGCTTGTGTTTATTTACCAAATTTATGATTTTTAGTAGCATTCGAAATCGAATCGTTGAGTATGGTTTGCAATTGGATGTATAAATTAGGGGTTTGTGTTCTATCATCCTACATTCTACCATTTTCTTAAGAAAATTAGGGCTTTTACATTTTTTATTCTCCGATTTGCAACTTTGTTCAAGTATTCACAAAAATGCTGTTTGTGTTTCCGAAATGTATTCTAGTCGAAATTAGGAGGGGCGCCACAAAGTACTCGCATTTCATTTCTAAAACGAACCAAATTGCCTATCTTATAATTACTTTGTTTGTTGTTAGCCAACCTTCTTTGCTGAACAAAAATGGAGGATTATATGGATCAAAGCTCTGGAGGAGACACTGATGGAAGTGATTCAGAGGTAGAGGAGTATGTGGATAAATCTTATGAAGAGCTACAAAGCGGAAAACACAAAGTAAAGTTATCTGATGAAACATTCACTTGTCCCTATTGTCGTAACAAGAAAAAGCGTGATTATCAGTACAAAGATCTACTACAGCACGCTACAATGGTGGGAAAAAGCGATTCACAAAAGAGAAACCCAAAAGACAAAGCAAATCATCTTGCACTAGTTAAGTTTCTTCAAAAAGATATATCTGGAAACTCTAACTCTGGCCCATCAAAACCTAAAGAGGAGACGGATAACCTTGCAGATCATGATGGTGATGAGCTGTTTGTATGGCCATGGAAGGGTATTGTGGTCAATCTCCCAACCGAGTTAAAAGACGGGCGATATGTAGGAAAAAGTGGGTCAAACATGAGAGACCATTTAACTGCAAGAGGTTTTAATCCTACACGAGTGCACCCTTTATGGAACTATCGTGGTCATTCTGGATCTGCAGTGGTTGAATTTAACAAAGGTTGGGATGGTTTTAAGAATGCCATGTCATTTGAGAAAGCTTATGAGGCTGATCATCGTGGTAAAAGGGATTGGAAGGTAAATGATGATCCCAAATCTGATATTTATGGTTGGGTTGCTCGTGCTGATGATTACAAAGCTCTTAATATAATTGGAGAGCATCTTCGCAAGATTGGTGATCTTAGGACTGTTTCTGATATCATGGCAGAAGAAGAACGAAAGGCAAATACTTTAGTCTCAACCTTGACAAGAGAAGTTGAGGTGAAAAAGAGAACCTTTGAAGAAATGGAGACTAAATATGTTGAGACAGAGAATTCACTTAGCAAAGTAATTGAAGAAAAAGATTTGCTTCATCAGTCTTATAATGATGGTTGTTGATGTTCTTTGAGTTGAGTTTATTTCTGTTGGTTTGTTTATAACATATAAAGTTACTAACTTTATTGTTGTATTGATTAGAGTTAAAGAAAATCCAGGCCAGTGCACATGATCATTTTAAAAAAATCTTTAATGACCATGAAAAGATTAAACTCCAGCTGGAAAACCAGAAGAAGGAACTCGAGCTCAGGGGTAATGAACTTGAGAAACGTGAAGTGGTAAATGAAAATGAAAGAAAAAAACTCACTGAAGAGATTGAAGAGGTGTGACATGACACTTTATAAGTTTTCAACCATCATTTTATAAGCACTAAACATTAAACAAAACTAATATTTTTTTTTTCACCTCTTGTGCTAGAATGCTGTGAAAAATAGTTTGCTTCAGATGGCCTCTGATGAACAAAGGAAAGCCGATGAAAGTGTGATGAAACTTGCTGAAGATCAAAAGGTTTGATTTCAAGAAATTTGTTGTTAATTTAGAATATTTGAATGTTGAGTTGAGATAATGTGTTAAATTTCAGAGGGAAAAGGAAGAACTCCATAAGAAAATTATTAATCTCGAGAAACAGCTAGATGCAAAGCAAGCTGTAGAGCTTGAGATAGAACGTTTAAAGGGACAATTAAATGTGATGAAACACATTGGAGATGTTGATTTGGAGGTGTTGAAGGAAGTGGAAGAGATACACAAGAACTTAAGGGATAGAGAAGAAGAGCTTGAACATATCCAAAGTTTGAATCAAACTCTTGTTGTTCAAGAACGCAAGAGAAATGATGAGTTGCAAGATGCCCGCAAAGAATTAATTGAAGTAACACACAATCTTTTCTTTAAATTACACATTTATGTAAAAATTGAAGTTATTATATAAACATATTTTTTGTGTAAAACTAACTATAGGGATTGAAGGAGCTTCCAAAAAGTGCACATATTGGGGTGAAGAGGATGGGGGAGCTTGAAAATAAACCTTTCTTGGATGCCATGAAGAGGAAGTATGGTGACATGGATGCTGAAGATAGGGCTTCAGAGATGTGTTCATTGTGGGAAGAGTATCTTAGAGATCCCAATTGGCATCCTTTCAAGGTCATCACTGTCAATGAGCAATCACAGGTGGGTGTGTGTTAAAGTGAAAAAAACATGATATGATTAATTGAAAGTCTGATAAATGGTGTGACTGAAGTGAAAGTTTGATATGATTGCTTTGTTGCAGAGATTGATTGATGAAAGTGATGATAAATTGAAAAGTTTAAAGAGAGATTTGGGTGAAGATGTGTATAAAGCTGTGACGACTGCTTTGACTGAGATTAATGATTATAATCCAAGTGGATCATATATTACAACTGAGTTATGGAATTTTGCTCAAGGAAGGAAAGCTCTTTTGCAGGAGGGAGCTTCTTTTCTTTTGGACTTGTGGGATTCTGCTCAAAAACGCAGGCGAATCATGTGAGGGATTGGGATTTCTTCTAGTTTATGATATGGGATTCTGGTTCTTAATGGATCCAGATTCTTAGTAGCTGATTGATTATAAGACTTTCTTTTATGATAAGACTCTCCAACAAATGTATTCAGACTTAGGCTGTGCTAATAATTGTTGGTTATTGAGATATTTGTGGCGAAAACACTTGAGTATAAC